TGTCTTTTGCTAACTCTTGCTCTGTTTTGTTTTTCTTTCCAGAATTCCATCATTCCTGGGCCCCCATTCTTATTTGGCGCATGTTCTGTACTGCTGGCTCTACTTGTTGCCTTGTTTATTCCTGAACATACCAACTTAAATGTTCGCTCTAGCAGCTGGAAAAAACACTGTGGCGGACATGGACATCCACACAGTCCACAGGCCCCTGGAGAGGCCAAAGAACCTTTATTACAGGATACAAATGTATGATGACAAAACCCAAGGACTCATAGAGCAAGTTTTATTTTTTCACCTGCGGTTCTGGATACACATTCCATTTCCATTGAAATTGTCATTTCTTAAGACTTTTTTAAGAAATGGATCTCTTGCATGAACTGTTAAGAACCACAAACAGGAAGTGGAAAATCATCCAAAGAAGTTACAACTTAAATTACTTTGGTTTTTAAAAAGAAGCTAGGATTTTTGTCAGAGTCCTAAATATATTAAATCTCCTTAATTTTGAACAAAATTATATATATATATATATACACACATACACACAAGGTATCGGCATGTGTTCCTGCATCAGTTTCTTGAAGGTGTTAAGCTTCGTTCTCTTCATGCTGGTCTCAGTGAGACATACAAGCAGGATTTGGGTATCTCTCTTCTCTGTAAAATCGTTGGTCAGATGGATTCAAAGCCTTAACATAGATGCACTTGGCCAGGAAAGTGAATTTGGTTGATATTGGACTTTCAAATCAGTGTCTGACAGGTTTTTTTTTCTTTTTTTACTAACACAAATCATGTGTTGAATACACATCCTGAACAGTACACTTTAAGTGCATTATTCTGCTAATTCTGTGTAGTGTGAGCCTAGATTTTACTATTGGCTCCAACACTCTTACCTTCATAAATACAATTTGATACCACTATGCTTTGGATGTTTTGCATAAGGACCTCAACACTTGAACGTACAAACTCAACTCTTCAGCTGATAGCCTTGATGATGTCAATGTGCTCTATACATGATTGTCACTTCTATTACTTGACAGGATGAATAGCTGTTCCGTTTTGAACCAAGGACAAAAGAGTTAATCAGCTTTTCCTATTATTTTATTTGTAAATTACATACATGGGGGTATGACAGGCTAGTGAATACTCTTGCCTAGTAATTCAAGTGGCAATTCTTGCTCTATAGTGGCCTTTTAGGATTGTCACAAATAACCCTTCAGAGCCAAGGAGTTAGTCCTGCATTTTCAGGACCGCAGTACAAGGAGAGAGCTTTATACAATTACTGATGTGAATTTCTCTAAAAGTGTATATTTTTGTGTCCAGTTGTATTATTTAAGTGTTCCTTTGTATAAAATGTGTATAAAGTATTGTATAGTTCAAAATGTTTTCATCTTGTGCTATGGTTATTGCTTAAGTTTTTTAAAAAACTTTCACCACAGTTGAATAGAAGCTGAAAAATTGTAAATACTCTGTTAATAAAAGTTGAATATTTTAGAGTTTTTTTAAATTGATATACTTGGTATAATACTGTCAATATAGTTGATTGTACATTTTTCATATCACATTTTATATTTGTTCTAGATATACATATATTTTCTATTATAAGAATTTATGTACCTAGAAAAATGTTTCTGAAATTTAGCACTTGTAAAGGAGCAAAAAGTATCATGAAAAATGGAAAACAGTAATTGAAGGAATTTGCGGACGGACGACATATATATTTATTCTAATGTCATAGTGCTAGCATAATTTCTCTGGGTAACATTACAGCAGTGATAACTCACTTTTGAGTAATAAAACAAAGTTTACTCTGTAGGGAGGCATCTTTCTTCAATGTTAAATAACTAAGGATTCTTTAGAACAGGTTTCAAACTGGATTTCTTTGAGGGTCAGATGACCTTATGGGCTAGTGGGGGAGACGGGATGGGCACCTCCTGCAGTACTTTGCTAGCCAACGAAGTGCAGTGGGGGGCACACGCCCCGTCCCTCATGCCTGTTTTGGCCAGCAGTGTTTCAGGAAGTCCATCTAGGCTGAAAATGAGCTTAGGAGCCACATGCAGTCTCCCCCCTGTCCACCATTTTGGCTGCCAGAGGCGGTATGGGCCAGTCCTTTGCTATTTCTGGGCCGGCTCTGCAGGCCATATTTAAGCACCCTGCAGGCCTTGAGTTTGACACCCTTGCTTTAGAACATTTCTCATTAATCCCATTTTACTGTAGTTTTATTGCATTTACAAAAAATACTATGGCTTCTTAGATCCAAATTTATTTAAAAATTTCATTTTTGTATTAATGTATAAACATAGTAAGGGATCAGTGGATTGTCTTAATTTTGTTTTCTTTCTACTCTCTCCTGAGATCTTTTTAAAAAAGCTGGATTGATATATATGACAAAGGAACTTTTAGCAAATGTATAAACTAAGTTATTGTTAATAGAAACATGGGGCATGGGCGGAGAAAGATTTGCATGAGCTAGTATTAGCATATTAAGATCTTGATGTTAATTCTTTGTAGACTATAATTCAGGTAGCACTGGGTAAGATATTTACTACATGGTCTGCTCTGGACTTTTAATCTTCACTTGCACTTGAGAAATCTGGTTAAAATATCTTGCCAATTACTCTAGCTTTGTAGAAAAGTACTAAAATATTTAAGAACAAAAACAAGATGTAATCTGCTTGGATCTATTACATTTTAGAGTGCTCTTTGTTAAAAACAATTAACCATTCAACTGGAGCGTACATTCTTTTAGTGAGTACCTAGTCTTCTGGAAGTATTTGGACAAGGCAGGCTTTTAAATTAGGCTTTTACATGGGCAACATTAACCTCCATTTATTGAGGATTGAGTTTTCTGTGTGCAGGGATTTTTCAGGTCAATCAGAAATGAATTGAAAAGCCTGATCTGTGTTGAACACAACTCATTTGATACTAAACTCTTGGTCCTGCTTTAAATGCTTGATAGCCTGTGGAAACATTAGACAGTAGTAGGAAACTACGTTTTAAGATCATAATTTGAGCAGCTGTGTAGGTTTGTTAGAGGACTACCATAAATAACACGTATTTCTTCTCTGCATAAGTTGGATCTGGTAACAATTATATATTGCTTAATCACATTCCACTTAATTGGTGGTGTGTGCTTTTTATGAAACTGACATTCTTCAATTGAAAAATGTCTACAGAATCTAATATGAATCAGGTGCAGTATGTTTTTAAACCAATCCACTGACTAATTTTTGCCTATGCCAATAAAGTGCTGGTTATAAATTAGCCCTATGTGGCTTGGCACTAGATGTTAGAAACACTATTCTTCTAACAGACACCTGAAGTAAATCTTGAATTATTGTGCTTGCCATCATTACTGGCAATTTAATGAAAACATGTTAAATCGCTCTCAAAACTGCCAAAGGTAGCTTGCTGGGTCATTTACATTGTTATTTATATTTTTTGTTACTAGCTTTTTGGAACATCACTTTGGTAGGGGAAGGAAAATAATTCTAAATTCTGATTGATGACTATGTTACTAGAGGCAATTTTTGGAAAAACCCATCCTTCAATTGTAGGTAATTGGCACCCTAACTACATGAATATCTATATATCCCTTCTTATATGCTATTTCACATCCAGAAACAAGCGCTTTAAAGAGTGCCTTGTACATGAATGGGAACCAAGAAAGGAATGTAAGTTCCTTATATGAAAGTCATAAGCATGTAAGACCTATCCAATTTTCTGTAATTAACAACACAAAAAGAGCTTTAATCTAGAAATTTGGACTAATAGCTATATTCTTCTTATATGAAGCAAAAGAACTTTTTAAGGGAGTGAAATAAAGACTGCCCTCTAGTCTTCACTTTCTAAAACCTTAACTGTACCATAACAGAAGTGTTTCTTTTCAATGTTAAGAAAAGTGAAGTTTATACAGAAACTAAACCTTTTAAGTTTTATTAAAACGAACAGATTTGTGTGTGTGTGCGTGTATATGAACACTACATTGATTATAGACAAATATACACATTTTACACTGCAGAAAACGATTGTGCAATTACACATTTAAATGATTTATTTTTCACTCAATATACAGGATTACAAATATATATATATATCAAAAAACCAGTAACAATCCAAACCACAATCCTTAAAATATATTGAATCTTTTAAACCCAAACAATTGATGGGATTTCAGTTCACACTTTAAATTACCAAGTTTACACGTTAGATTTATCTAAATGTATATTTGACAAAAATTACAAGATATTCAGAGTACTGTCTGGAACAAAGTATGAATGTAATAAAATCCCATTAAAGGAGATTATATTTAAATATTTTCCAGCTACAATTATGATGAGGTTCTTATAGCATGTTAAAACTTTTCCTCTGCATTTCATAAAACTTAAAATTGGCTGGACTATGCCAACTTTTGCTGATTTGATTCAGTTAGAGGCCACGTTGTCCTATTGTAAAATGAAATGGCTCCTTCAGCTAGAAAGATTTGTGATTTTGTTTTTATGGTCAAAAACAGCAAGAATATGTGAACCTCATTACTCTTTACAGTAAATAAAGCTGGGCAGCAGAGGTTTATATATAAGACACTGTACAGACATTGTTCCCCGTGTTCAATAGACATGTTATGTAACATACTGAAAGATCCAGGCAAATGGATGCCCAAATATTTTACAACTATGTGAGCAGATCATCTAGAGTTGAAAACTTCTGAATAGAATAAGTGCAAAACATTTCACATTCAAAACAATTCTCAAGTAACTGTTTTAAGGAAAAATGGGTTGCACGTTTCTACTGAATAGCAGCAAAAATAACATCGGTGTTAATCTTTCTAATATTAGATCACAGCTTAATGTATTCTTCATTATGTGAGTATGATGCAACAGACCAGTTCCAGACATAGCATTTCAATTTATATGTTGCAAAATCAAACACTTAAAATAAGGCATCCACTATGTTTAGATAGCAAACCACACTCAATGACAAAAGTATGTTACAGTGGAGGGGAATATTACCAAAAATATACCAACATTCAGCAATGGTTTTAAAGTATTGTTTTCTAAACCCTGGACAAAATGTGCCAATATTGTTAACTAACAGCACAGGAATTTTAAAATCGGGTAAATTCAAAAATAAATGTTTATTATAGATTTGTGGGCACTAATACTGCATCTCTAAATCATGTTATTAATACCGGTCGTTCCATTAAAATTACTAAAATCAATTTGCATACTGGACTCAAATGCGTTCCAAAAGTAATAAAAAGAACAGCACTGAGCTAGTTTATATGTTTTTCTACCATGGTTGGAAACCAGAAAATATTGTGTTTAAAAGTTGTTTCATTACTTCAGACATTGTCATATTTTTTTATTTATGGCCAAGATACCCCAATGGTTGAACAGCAGAGTTGGCTATTCAAGCTGGAAATATGTAGTTTGGCCATGTAGAAACATCATTACATAATCTTTAAATGTATAAATAATTGGAAAAAATTCTACTTCGACACAATTTTTAAAAAAATCTGTTCGTTTTCGATATAATAACCAAAAACTGCTAAATGAAAGATAGTATGAAAGTTTATGCTTATTCAGACTGACATACATAAGAGATCCAGGAGTCTCATCCCATCTGCCATAACCCTTCCTGAGATTGCAGTATTATATAGGTAGAACAATAAGGCAGATCTATTTGCATTGCACTGAATTTAAGTAGAACACCCTGCATCATAGACACTGAAGAATTAAGCTCCAAAATTCTGCAGGCAATTCTGTTTGTGTCAGGTAAATTCCTCCTTAAGCCTTCCACAATTTCACTTTTGAGCCCCACATTCCATAAATTTCTGTCATAGAAACAACAATAAGTTATTCTTATCAGGTAGTGCATCTTTGATACCTAAAATAGAAAGCAAATACCTCGTATATTGCAAAAATGCAAATGAACTATTGAGAACAACCAAATAGAATCTAGACATCTATCCATTAAATAAACAAATATCCATTTCATTTTGTAGAAAAACATAAATGTAAATGTCCTAGAACTAGTTAACTTTAGTACCCAGAAATCTATTTTGTAAAAATGTAAAGTTGGTACTTCAAAAGGGAAACAAATGCATGTAACTGATAATGGTGATCAAAATTGTTGTAAACCTTTAATTACAATATGCTATCCAGGAAAGTAGGCAGAAGTTTTAGAAGGTGCTGCAGGCTTACATGGAAGCTGCACTTTTTTTGGTGCAGAGGACTTCATATATCCTGCAATGATAAAAATTGATGAAATATTGTACATTTTCAGAGATTATGAGCAAATTCTTTTATTTTAATTAAACATATGTATATATATATATATATATATGTATACATGTTTACCTGTGTTTTGAGCTGTGTTTTGATTGAGTCCTCTTAAAGGTATGCTATCTTCCCTTTTCTTTAAATATTTTGTTTCCAATCCCAAATTTTCACCACTAAGTCAAACAAAAATAGAACTGTTGTGAGCAGTCACCTATTTAGGAGTTTTTCAAGTTTCCCAATGAAAATCTGTAAGAATTTCAAATACAATTGCAGATCTCCTATGAATTACTTTAAAAGACAGTGAGCCCATGAATGCTGATCTCAAAATGATATCCTGAGGACAGAAATTCCTACAAGGACTTAATCCCTTAAATTGAACGTGATTATATTAATTCTTCAAAAGAGTTGGTCTCTGGAAACTTGCTTTTTTTGTTTACAGACTATCTCGCCTTTGTAATCTCACCTATATCATCTTTTTGAAGCACCATACAAAAAAGGTGGCATGTGACTTGTCAGACTGATCACAGCACCAATATATAGTGCACTGACAAAACAATTCAACAAGATATATTCTGTTTGCCTGAAAGCACCCCTCCTCATCCAGCTATTCTTAAAAAAGAAAAAGACTAGTTTTATTTTCTGTACTATGGGAGTGGGGAATATCTCATTCAATTTAAAGTTAATTTTCTTTCAGGTATATAGGCTATAACTTCATAGTTCATTCCTTATTAGAGGAGCAACTTAAAAACTATGTCTGGAGGGGGATGTGGCAAGAAGAACGTATATTAAGGCAATGCTCCTTTTAAAAGGTAATGAAAAAACCTATTTTTGCACTCAAGTCAAATCAAGGATCTCCTTTCCAGAAATTCAAGACTGAAAATGCATCCTTTTAGAATCAGATTATCTGTTCTACTTGTTTATCAATCACATCTATCTTTTCTACATCAGTAGCAACAGTTTACCCAAGTGGCAATTACATTCATAAGCCTTTAGCAGAACAATGATTATTTTCATATGACTTCAGAGTGAATATATAGGTTTCTCTTGTTAGAACGAAAATTAGAAAATGGGAAAATATGGCTTGCTTTAGTTGTATTACTTTTCCTATTAGATCTCCCACACTGAATTCTCTGGGGCATTTAATCCTTGCCTTGGTAGCTTCCACACCACGTTAGAGTGGAGAAAAGATAAATTCTGATATAATGCCATAGGAGGAAGTAACTGTTTTCTTGGATTTAGAATACTGACTACCTTTAGAAGTGACACAGGCTACTTTCACTTTACACATTCCTTCAACCCTTTGGCCTCTACCCCAGATAGTTCTGCTTCCCCCCAATTCCCAAGTTTGTCTTCCTATTCAATTCCAAATGGCCTTTCCACCTTCTCTTTAAATGCACCCAGTTTTCTCCTTAGGCCCACTCCTTTCCTGTTCAACAGCTTACTTTTCTTTATTGGCTGAATGACCTATCAGCCCAGGAATCCCTGGCTGAGCATCTGAACATCTATTTGTTTCTGAGAGCTGCACATTGAAGTGAACCTGCTGGAAAAAGAATTTTTCAATATTATATTTTCGCCATTTTATGTATCAAAGCCTTAGTCATGTAATATTGCATGTAAGAAAAATTATACATATTGCTACAGTAATGCTTAATAATTGAACAGTATAAATTGTCAATATATTTATTTAAAGCAGAATTAAATTAGCTTTCTCAAAAGAGTAGTAATAAATTGTCTGACACCATCACTAATTTACAGTAAATCACAGTCATAATACTATCCGTATGGAAGACAAGTTGCTTGTCTTTTGCATGACAATATTAGCTGTTACAAAAATGGATGGCTTTGTCTTAGCATCTATGTACTTGTACAACCATTTTGCCAATAATGTTTTAAGCAGCTGGAATAATATTCTACTCTAAATAGGGATGGTCCCACTCTGCCTGCTTTTTCTAAAGCTTTTTTTTTTGGACTTCTTTTTCAGACACTTGGATTATTTGGTAGAATATGTTTTATCTGTTTTACTGTATTATTATTTTTATTAAATTTTATTAATTAAATTATTAAAATATTGGACACAGTGTGACATTCCTTTTTGTCATACATGTTATAATATATAATATATATTTTATATACTATATATACACATTTGTTCAATTCATTTTTATCTGTAATTATTGTACTTTATTGTTGACTTTTGTAGATTCCTTTTTTCTGTATGCTGGCCTGAATTATTTCGAGAGGTCCGCTATATGCATATCGATTAGGGTATAATTCTGGCCATTCAGGTCCATACATAAGGAACTGGATGACAAATATATAGAGTCTTTCGTGTTTTTTTTCCATGACTCATCCCTAATTGTTATGTTTTTCCCCACAAATGGTAATCACTCAAAATAGCAGAAGAGAAAAAGGATTTTGTTTTGGGCATAAATCAATAAAATGGAAATGACATGACTTGATAGAACATAATGGAACTTTATTAAAAATAAATGTCTTAAATTCCTTGCCTTTGTTCCTGATATTTGTTGGTTGGCATTTTTGACAGCAGCTGCTTCTGGGAAGCTTTGGAAAGCTAGCAAGGGGGAGATGGGATAATTCAGTCCTGAGTTTAAAGATGTAATCCTATTATCAGCCTGTTAAAAAAAAACCACACATTGGTTCATACTTGCTGTCTTTGTTTAAAGCAAGCATAGTCAAAGTTCATACATACCGGTACTACTATTCAAGGTTAACTCAGCCTTCCATTCTTCCAAGATGGGTAAAATGAAGACTCAAATTGTTGGGGGAAATATGCTGACTCTGTAAAATTGCTTAGAAGAGGGCTGTAAAGCGGTATATAAGTCTGTGCTATTGCTGTTTATATTGCACTTCGTATTTTGCCTAGGTCTAAATTTAATTTGCTTGAAGCTAAAATCCTCTGCTTCTGTCAAGACCTGGTTTGAATCCCAGGCTGAAGCATTTGCTCTCCTCTCTGACCCTACATATAAGTTTACCATCTATTGATAGGATAGCAAAAGAAGCAAATGGAGGGAAATATGCTAATCTCAAGCCTCATATTTTTATCAGGAGGAAGGAAAATTGTTCAATTCCAACTAGGCCCCACAAACTGTCCATTGCTGAAGAATTTATGCAAAGTGTGCACTCCCATTGAATTTTGTGTTGTTACTTAGAAATTAAACTATGAAGGACAGCAACGTGGTATCAAAGATTTTTACTATTACCATACTGTGAGGAGAGCTGCCAGTTCTTGAAACAGTGTTGCTAGATGTAGATGTTCCTAGCATTTCATGCTTTCTTGCCAGCTGGATTTCATTCAATTGTTTATTCAGCCATGTGATGACTGCAAGGAAACAATGCATTTCACTTTTCACTCCCAATTCTTTTTAATTTTAAAACAAAGTCATGATTAAATTCTGAATGTGTATGGATAGACTATGCTTTCAAAGTTAAATTTATATTCAGAACAGAGTTAAAAGGGTTCGCTCCCAAACAAAAACTTACAGAATTGCACATGATTAGGAACTGATAAATCCTATGTGACAAAATGGAACTTCTACAGTACATATCATTGTTAAGTTATTCATTGCAAGGGAAACAAAATAAAAGCATGAGTTGCATTAATACAGAAAAAGGACATGAATATTAATAAGTGCCAGGAGGGAAAATAAGTATGGCATTTTTCAGAATCATTCAATATCCCTACCCTCAAAAATCCTCCAAACATTTAAAAAAGAACTATTCATCTTTAAGTCCAACATTCACGATTATTGCCTAAACAAACAGATAACAGAGAAAATGCCTAGCCCAAAACTTAAGACTATATCGTCTAATAAATTCTATATATTAAAATATAGACTGTTGAAAGAATTAGACAGTAGTTAATGCAAGAAAATCACATACCATTTTCATTTGTTTTGAGAAGATGTTTGCTTTCTTCCAGCTTTTGTACTGTAGCTTCTAATTGTTCCTGCAATTTGCATATCTGAAATGTTTTCATATTATTAGTTATTTGAAATATGTTTATCCACAGCAACAAAACAATATTTCAAAATTAACATCAGAAGACATTTCTTCTAAATAATAAACATAATTGTGTAAGTTGTTCTTGAAATCTAAATAAATAAGTAAATGTATAGGGATGTTTAACAAAAATACTTCAGAGTATTTCAAAGCAACTGGAATCTAATTCAAAGCATCTAATTAAGATTATCTGATCCAAAAACAAGGGAAAACAAGGTTCAAATTTTATTCATTCTTGGATGGGATACCACTAGGAAAATCCAGGATAGTAAATAAGGTTGGAAAATAGGAAAAAAGAATTCCTTAATAATAGTAAATCATTTTGCTAAAAAACAATTTTTCTCAAGAAACTTACAAGGACATAATATGACCAAGAAATGAGTTAAAACTGAGGAAATCTTTACTTCATTCCAGAGAAAAGTGGGTTTATAGCAAAAAAGAAAATATTATTTCTGATGAAAGGCAATCTTAGTACTTGTTTAAGCATTTATTATATAGAAGCAAGGCTGTTAAGTTACCTCTTGTTCTTTCTCTCGAAGAGAACTTTCCACTTCCTGTAATTCCTTTTGTTCTTTCTGTAATTTTTCTTCCTTTTCAGCCAAGAGCTTTTCTTGCTGAATTGTTACTGTGTTTTTCAATTTCAACTTACTCATTAACGTTTTTACATCTCCTTGCAATTTCTTTATTATCTCATTGGCCTGGAAACAACATTACAGAATACTAAATGATGATCAGATAAAAATCAAATCATCATAATAAAAAAGAATACTATGTTTAAACAAACCTTAAGGAACTCAGTTGACAGAGCTTTCAGTGAGGTTTCCAGTTTTCCTATCTGAAATTGTTTCTTTTCTGCATTTTCTTCCAGGTTTGCCTTTAAAGAATATATAATGTTAGGAAGATTGTGTAAAAAATAAAGTGAAAATCTGAATGGATTGATTTTCAAATATACAAGAAGCTGATAGTTCTGCAAATCCTATAATGTGGTCTGTAAAACCAGCAGTACTTTGAAAGTTTAATGTGTTATTAAATAGCAGTATGTTCTACAATCTATAATTCGGAGGTGGGGGAGGAAGATGGTGTATGCAAGGTGTTTGAACTTCTAAACACAGCCAAGTTCTAGGGAACCATATTATTAGTTTGGCAAAGAAGTTTCAGATTGTCAAAAATTATGTTTTATGTTAACACCAAAATAAGCTTTCAATTTAAAAATAAAATAAAAAGCAGACTACGATGCCACAAAGGTTCTACTTTTCATGTAATGTAAACTTTACAGATAATACATAGAAATGCCCTATACCCCAAAGCTGAAATCAGAAAGTTGCCTCCTTAAATAAGCTGTTTTCCCCTTGGCTTACAACCCCAGGAAAATAAGTTTGAATTGAGGAGGCGGTGTGATAAACTGCTTTAAAATGGCTATGAATATTCAGTTTCCTCCTCCTGGAATCATGAAGCTATCTAGCTTTTTAAAACTAGCTTTATACCTGTACTGACAGGTATAACTTGCATGTTGATGTCTCCGCCAATGGAGCTTTTTATTGCCAGATTAAACAGCACAAGCCTAGTCACCTGCACTTAGCCAAACACATAGCGTAACATTTTAGATCATAATGAACTTTAATGACTAAATTTGTTATAATGGTACTACAGGGAAAATTCTAGGAACCTTTTGCTCTTGTGTGGCTTCTAATACTTCTTTTGTCCTGGCAACAAGCTGGTCCTTATCTTTGATCTCTTGTTCCAAAACAGCAACTCGCATTTGCAATTGATTAACTTGCTTCTCCTTTTCATGGCATTCAGCATCTAAGGTGGTATTCTCCCGACGTAAGGATAGAACTTCTTGCTTCATTCTCTGGCATTCCTTATCAAATGGATAAAATAAAGCATTCTAAAGTATTTTAAAGATTTAAGCTTGATTTAAAAAGTAAGTATATATGGCAACAATTGTTTACATCACATAACTGCATTATATTCACCTATTATAATATGGAACAATTAGAAATTGTAAGTCATGAAAATCAGATCTTTAAATAGACACAAATTGGCAAGTGTTACATACATCTTCTGCACTTGATAATTTTGCTTTAAGTTCCCTGACTGTTGAATCGCCTTTGTATCTCCTTTCCGTTAAGTCTTTGTTAGCAAGTTCCAGCTCCTTCAGCCTGTTCTGCAGTTGCTGGACAGTTTTCTGATGCAAGTTTTCCATGTCTCTTTTCTGTTGATCATTCTGTTGCTGATAATGTGCTTGTGCCTATGAAAAATAGAAAGTGTTTTAATAATTCTTAAATTTTAAAAGGAATCATTTGTTTTATACACTGTATTATTTACATACCTGCAGAGTTTTTTCCTTCTCATTTGACAATTCCTGAGCATGTTTACTGTTCAATGATGCTGTCTTGGAGGCCCATTCACTTCTTAAGTTATCTAGTTCTCTGCTCTTTTCTGACAAGTTCTAAAAGAAAAAAGCATAATCACTAGGCTTTCATGTAATGCTAGAATTTAACAATGTTAAATTCTTAAAGGACCACACTCATGTCTTATCTATTTAAAAAAATATAGCACTATAAATATTGTTCTGTATGCCTTCACAATCCTATTAATCTAAATTGTTTTCTTTAAAAAAGGTTTGTAGCATATTAAGACATGAAGTTCCTTCAATTAATTAGGCTTTCACTTACTTAGGCTTATGATACAGTTAACTTATTATTCCTTCAAGGTATAACAGTTCTCTAATTTTGCTATAACTGTGCTACTCTGGTACAGTTATATTTCTATAAAAGAAGTTCAGTAATACATATCCTATTAGCTGTATAGTTAGATACTCTTGATAAAGCATAGTTCATATATATATAGATATGTTTTCTGTAAATTGGAGCATACTGAAGCTTTGCTCTTACCTGCTGTGTATAATTCAGCTGTCTTGTAAGGTTCTCCTCTGTTCTGCTAAGTTTTTCTTCCAGTAATAACTTTTCTTCCTATAAACAATTGAAAATTTCTCAGTCAATATATTTTCAGTCTACAAAATGATTAATTGCAAGTAGTAGTAGATATACTCTCCTGGACATTGGAGGACCTTTTTTGTCAATCAGGATTGCCTTTTATAGCACATAATTTGCAAATATATTTATACTACAGGAGGTACAGGAGGTGTTTGGTTCTTTTTCTAAATATTTTTAGAATATTCATTCTAAACTAGATAAGGGTGAAATCTCAATTTAGACTTCAGTAATAAAGGACCTTTGTTCAATGGATAAAATTTTCATATCGCTGCAGATGGCATTTTATTTAATTTAATGACAGTCAAAAATAAAGACATCCTTTACCTCTCAAATGGTCTATTAAACTAAGATTTAATTGTATTGCTGTCCATCAATTCTAAAAATATAAAGAACATTAAAGATAGGATATTAGTGAGTCTTAAATTCAATAGCATTTGCCATTTAACTTCATCTTTTTATTCTCTTAATGACCAAAAACAATTATTATTGCCAACATCCATCAATCCATCCCAGGGGGTAGATATCTATCCCTGGGGGTGCGAGATGATTTTCCAAGGGGTGCGAAAACTTGGGTTTAGAAGTTTCAAAATTATAGTGTAGATGTATAATTATATGCATATAATTATTTATTTATTTTAAGAGGTGCGAGAATATATCAGAAGCGTTCTAGGGGTTTAGGTTATAGAAAAGGTTGGGAACCCTTGATCTATACACACATATCCATATACATGTACATGTATGTATGTATGTAACGGAAACTTTCGTTTTACCTTAATAGATTTGAGGCAGGATGCCAAAAATTTCTTGATTTCAGCATCACTTCCTGCTAAGAATTTTAGTGATAAATGGGTAAGATGTTTAAATGGATTTGTCTCAACCACATTTAGAAATGAAGGTGTGTGATCTAAACTAGATCCTGAAGAAACCAGCTGTAGCAAAAACCTAAAAAGAAAAAAAAAATCACATATAACTTAAAATTACCCTCTCAAAATCATGTCTTCTCAAAAAAGGCAAAGCTACTTATAATCCCTAAGGAACAATGGGAAATCTTTGCTCATGAACATTTTTAGTAGCATGAAATCCCTTTCAGTGCACTGCTAAAACTCAACAGTGGGTTTTTTGTGATTTTTAGAACACAACGGCTGTCTTCAAGCTGCTACTTCAACCAGCTCCACCACTACCAATGCATGCCACCTCAAGCCCCATGCCATGACCAGCTGTCCCAGCATCATACCACAAACCCCCAGCTGCTGCTGTCCCAGCATCACAGGGTGAAGCTGCCCTTTGGTACAACCCCCCCAGCCATCATTTTTGGCTGCCCTGCATAGTGGCATTCCTCAGAGTCAGTGGCAGTGGCATCTGGGCTGAGGTAGAGGCCTGGGACCTTCAGCAGACTTGCCCTATCTCTGCCTGCTTCAGTCCTAGAGCAATTGGCAAAGCTCCTGCCACCAAGGAAAACTGCCTCAATCTCCCTACTATGGGCAGCCAACCTAACACCATGGTACAAAACCTCAACCACGGCCACAAAGCTACAGCTACTTAGCTACAGCCGCCCCAGCTCTGCAGCGTGAAGCCCCAGTGGTAGCCACTTCCTCCACCCTGTGCTCTGCTGTCCTCAGCTGACCTTCACTGCCTTCTTCCTCTTACCAACAAGGTCTGCCAGCCTGGCCCTTTATGGGGCAGCTACAGCCTTGGGAATGTTTTGCAAGGCCTCAGAAAAGGTGGTGTGCAGCTTCAGGAAAAAGGCCACGCGCAGCCAGCAGCTGCCTTGTGAAGAACCAGGCCAGGTGTAACTTATCCACAGTGGGAGCAAGATATCGAAAGTCAGCTGTGGATGGCAGGGCAGTGGAGTGCCGGGCAGAGTACAGGGTGGTAAAATGCAGGATAGCCCAAGGACAGAGTGGAGGGGGGGATAGGCAGGTGGGGGCAAATTGAAACACACCCTGTAATAGTAAATGCCAAGTGCCTAAATTCTGACCATGTGACTACAGGGGGCTACAAATAGTTGTAACTTTGAGGACCAGATGTAACTATATGATATGCCATCATAATTTGAACAGTTGCTGAACAAACTGTTAACTGAGGATTACCTGTAAGAAAAGAGATATTACTTCTGGTTGTGTTTTCTGCCTGAACTACCTCCTAGTGCTAATACCCAGCCCCTAAAAAAGTAATAAATAAGGGCAGCTTTTGAGACATCAAAAGGTTTTCGAAGTAAACAAATGCAAATGATCCTATGGTCTCCTTTTTTAATTTTAGTTTTATTTTCTTGAACTTGATATTTTACATAAATGATAGATTGATTTACAAATGCTATTTATATTCATTGATTTGAAAACGATATAAAGTACATACAGTTTATGTATTACTGACCTTGGGATTTCTTTATCTTGTTCTTGGATACAGTGCTGAAGAAGATCTATAAATCTCTGAGGAAAAGCAGAAAAATCTACCAGGAGACTTTGCTGGAGTTTTAAACTACATAGAAAAAAAAGAAATAATTAAATACACTTATCAATGTAATGTGTGCTAAAAGCAGTTAATTTTCAAGACATTTCTTTCCAAAGCTAAGAATTCTAAAGTGTTTGCCCTGAAAAAAAATTACAAAACAATTTCCTTATGACCTTTCGGGATGCTACCACAATTTACCTGTCACTTCAATTAATCACTTATTACTGCAGTAAACTAATTTCCCTTTCTAGCATTATTTATTCTTTAGCCCAGTAGTTTTCATGTAGCTCCTAGAACATGAACCTGAAATAAGGATGCCTCTCCTCAAAATGTTGAAAGTCTAAATCACTGTTTGTCAATGAAACTTGGCAACATTTAAGTTGAATGGACCAATTCCCAGAATTCCCCAGTCACTATGGTGGGAAAATTTTGGGAATTGAAATCCACACATTTTAAAGTTAACTAGCTAAAAAATATTGGCCCAAATAGATCCATGGTCTAAAGTTAGTATTCATAATTCATGCAAAAGGAGAACAAAAATAAACAAACCAAACATCAGTGACAATTTCTATATAAGTATTGAGTTACATGCTTTACATCATCCTAACAATATAGAGATTAATTTGGTTATTTTTGTAGCAAGACTATTACACCCATAATTTTTATTACTAATGCTGGATAGTGTATTTACAATATAAATCTATAAAAATCAGAAGAAAACCTACCTTTGAAAATCTTCCTCAGAAATAACAAGATTATACAGGAAAAAGGGATCTGAATCTTCAGTTAGCCGAACAACTAAATCCTGAAGGGAGTATGAATTTCAAAAATTAAATGTATTTCTCTAGAATAATATTTCTATAGTACCAAAAACATACAATTCATAAAATGCTGAAAGCTTCCATACAACATCCTCTGAGTATCACAAAACAATAGCAGAAGTATGAGGGCAATCCTTACTCCTAAATATTTTTTTAAAAAGTTTAACTGCAGAATTTATCCAAATGGTCTTTGAAGTGAAGGTAAAGTGATGGAGGCCTCCTATCTAATCCATCAACTTCTTTTTCAAGGCCCAGACCATTTTTCTTGGTCTTTTCCGTTCTACAGCTGAAAACAGGCTTAACAATACTGTAACTCTGATCCTTGTCAGCAAATAACATGCTATGTTTAAAAGTTCAAATATTAATTGAATTGTTTTAATAAAATTTATGGCAGGATACAGATGTAGAATGAGTTTTGGGAGCTTTTGATCCAGATTCCACTCTTTTACCAACTATTAAAACAGCCCTTTTTGAGACACCATGTTTTGGGAGTGGAAGTTACACTAGAGTGTCATTGTGAAAAGCGAGTGAAAAGAGGCATGGCCTAGGACTGTCAGACCAAGCAAAAACATTGATGATCTCCAGGGTGCTCTTTGAAAGAGACAAAGGCCTCCACAGGATCCTGGCAAACAGCAGTGCAGAAACATAAATGCCAAGAAACAATTTGACATCAGAATCCTTGAAGAGGACTAGCACTGGAGGGAGGTGGTTAAATGGCATTAGTAGCCTTGAGAGCCACACCAGTGGTGGAGCCTGAAAAAGCCTAGCTGCAACATCAGTCATCAACCATATTCACCTTTCTGAGACTGGAAGTTCCTGCAACATAGCTGTAGCTAGTGTCAATAAAGGAGAATATTTGTAGCTCAGGGTTGAAATGAGGGGTCCTTGGTGTTCTCTGAGCTTGATTGTTTTGTTGCATCTGATGATATTATCTGGTTTGGCTAATGAAACTTCTGCAAGAAAACAACCAAGTTCAGTGTAGCTAGTTTTCCAGTGAAAGATCCAGCAAGGGTCAAAAATAGTAGTGCTCTAAGGACATCACAGAGTCTAGGTTAAAACATTTACTGTTTGGAAAGGAGGAGGGAGAGTTGGCTGAGAAAGAGATTTTTTTTTTAATGTGCGCCTTTGAATCAGTGTTCACGCCTGGCAACTGCCTGGACAAGTTCCTGCAATTTTCTTGGCAAGATTTCAGAAGTAGTTTGCAGGAAACAAGAGATATAGATATAGCAGAACAAACAAACGTTCAAACAGAAATAAAACACAGATTTAATTGTAAGAAATAAGGCATAGATACAGAAACATAGGAATAAGGTATCTAGAAATCTAAGATATATAAGCATAATAATAAAAATAAGTAAAACATACACTTCCATAGGAAATATTTTTGTGTAATAAAACCTCCTCTGTAATAAAGGGAAATGAAATTCACATCTACTTTGTGATCTGTACTGTTCCTCAAAATAATCAATGGTTAGGGGACTGCTATCAACAAATACTTTTTCTAATCACCTAAGGAAACCATAGAGAAAATTTACATAGTAGTTGCATAAATTCTTTGAAGAATCCTTCGAAGACTGAAAGACTGAAACTTTATCAGTCTGTGAAACAAATTACATGAAAGCAGTCTGAGGTGTTCCAAAGGGGAAGGTATAACCCCCCAAACAGGCTTTGTTCATCCAGGGTACCGTAACTTGAACATCTTGATTTTTTTCTTAGAATAGCATGATCCAGGAGATTTCAGCAATAATAGGGGATTGGAGGCTAAAACATATGAAGAACGGTTGCAGGAATTGGGTATCTATAGTTTAATGAAAAGAAGGGTTAGAGATGACATGATAGCAATGCTCTAATATCTTTGTGGACTGAAAAGGGGTCAATCTATTCTCCAAAGCACCTGAAGATAGGTCAAGAAGCAATAAATGGAAACTAATCCAGGAGAACTAATGTAGAACTAAGGAGTAATTTCCTGACAGAACAATTAATCAGTGGAACAACTTGCCTCCAGCTTCAATACTGGAGGTTTTTGAGAAGAGATTGGACAACCATTTGTTTGAAATGGTATAGGCTCTCCTGGTTGATCAAGGAGTTTGACTAAAAAACCTCCAAGTTCCCTTCCAACTCCATTATTCTGTTATAATATTGCAGAGTTTTCTGGAGTGTTCTGTTCACAATTCAACAATTTTTGCATATTTTTATTAGATAAGAAAAGAAACATAGCTTTTCTCAGCAGACAATTACAAACTATAAAACTACTAAATATATGGGAAGGGAATACATATGAAAAATTAGTCATGATGTAGAGGAGGCCAGATGAAAGGATAGGAGGACAAATTAACATGGAAATCTATGCAAGAGTATTGAATGAAGGGTAGAAAAGAGACTGAATGAATATAATGTTATTTGGAAATATATTGATTAGGCTAGCCCCACTTTGGTCTCAACTTTGCCAATTGTACAGTTATCATGGAATATTACTTCCAGGTTTATAAGTTCCTTCCTCTGTTCTGTAGTGATGAAATCATTATTATTCTTCACAATATTTATTCTGATAAATAATCAATAAAGTCTATTGTTCATGAGGGCATATCCTTGGCTAGAGTTAGCAAATAAAATTTTAAGCAGGATCATTTATTGTAACAACTGAAAACAAAAGCACAATGAAGGAAATACAAACCTTTCTATGAATGGGATTTGTTGTTGATTGCATTTCAACACTCACTCGGACCTTTATTCGTCTGCAAAATACATGAAAGTGCATTCAATATATTGATATAAGTAACAGCAATTTATTCAATCAATAAATGAAATGTTGTATTTTAATTCAAGTAAAGGTGATCGATTAAGAGAGTTTGCACAGAATTATATCTACTGTAAAGTCAATATACCATAATTGTCATAAAGACAATCTTTCCTGCTAGCTTTCCGGAAAGCCCTTAAAATGTGGCTCTGCAGGATGCCTGCACTGTTTAGATTATTATAATCACCTGCAGTTTTGTTTATGTTTATTTCTATTTTTTTTATTATTATTCTATCAGTTTTACTAATTTTTATATTATTTTTATTGCTGTTGGTTCAACATATTTTGTATATTTTTACTAGATAAGAAAAAAAAATGATTCACCTATAATCACATTCAATAAAATGGATAGCTATATAATTCATTAAATAATCAGTTATGATCCTAAATATCACTATATTAATTACCACTCATACAATTTTTATTAATGCAGCTTAATAACTAGACATTACTTTGCATGAATATTCAGACAAATATTATGACATGAAAATACTACTATTAATGTACAAGGAAGACAAACTTTAAAGAACCAACAGATTTGCAAGAAGTGGGGAAATAAATTTTTCCTCAGAGAAAAAAACTAAAAGCCCAATTGAGAGTCGAGTGCGGAGAATTAGGGTCAGAATATTCCAAGCAACTATCTTGCACCTTTTACCATGGTTTCCAAGGGGCTGTAGTTAGTTCTGAATAGAATATGTAAGAAGATTGCACAGTCCTACACAATCTGAAATTACAATTTATAATAATAAATTCCCCCCAAATTCAAGGTGGGGATGTCTGGATTTACCAGTTCTAATTGACATTAATTTTATGAAAAGGTACCAGTAGGAAAAATTATTTATTCATGACAAATAATCAGAGCCCTTCAAAGATGAGTACATAGCATATACAGCATCACCTGAGAACTACACTTTCCAAACTATTTGTGAACACTTTATGATGATTCTCTTCCTTTCTCCAGGATTGCAGGATTCTACTCTCTCTTTTCTTTTCAACTATTGAATAAGGTCATCTGCCAGTTAGGGATATGGAATCCTCAGTTTGTTGATAATACCCAATTATAATATTTTGACTCCAGAGCAACCAAGTTAAGACTGTCAAGTTTCTGTCCCAGTGCCTGGAGGCTACATAGGTCTGGATGGAGAGAAACTGCTTCCAATTTAATCCTATGAAGATTGAGTAGCTGTGGATATTTGTTTGTCCAGAATAGATCTGGGAATTTTCCACCTTTGACCTTGAAAGGGTACCCCTTCCCACTTCAAGGGTGATAAATAATCTGGGTTTTTTGTTGGACTTGCAGCTCCTGCTTCAAGAGCAGGTATCTGCTGCATCCAGCTGGTACTCCAGTTGCACTCTTTCCCATATCCAGGAGCTACTCTTCGGTCAGTCAGTCATCTCACAGGTTGACTACTAAATTATTCTACATGGGGCTGCCCTCAAAGACCATCCAGAATTTTCAAGTGGTCCAGAATATATCAGTAGTTGCCAGTTTACTTCTAGGTGTGATTCAAGGGACTACCTTTGTTACCTGTAAAGCCCTAAAATGCCTAATTACCTCAGGAATCACTTGACTCCAGAAGTGGTCCTGAGAGATGACATTGTTCAATCAAAGGAACCCAGAGTGTGCCAACCCTGCAGGATTGTTGTTCTCCCTGAAAGTCAGATGGTTCTAGTTCTTCATCCAAGTTTTCGGCAAGAGACATCGAGCCCCTTTTTTTCATTGTGCCTGCTAACTTTTTAAAATTTTGTATGTTTTACTATAATTTTTCTTTGATTTTTGAGAACTGCACAGTCGTTGAGACTTAGGCAGCATATAAGTTCAATAAATTATTATTAATTGGTAATATCTCCGATTCCAAAAGTTAATTCCATAACTGCACTAAAATTATGGGGAAGTACCATTTATTATTCTTTAAACCAGGGGTTCCCAACCTGGGGTGCTCGCACCCCCTGGGGATGCGAGACAATATTCCAGGGGGTGCGAAAAAAGTCCAGGTAAATAATAGGATATTGGCTATATGTTGGCATTTTTATTTATTATGCAATGGATTAACTTTGTTTTCATTTTAGAGTTAAGTATCGTTATTTAGTGGCCGTCACATACATAGCTGAAAAGATTCAATCCTACCATATATTTAACGCGATCAGTAGTTCCTAAAGTCTACATTTCAGGGGGTGCGAGGTTCGAGTGAAATTTCTTTAGGGGTGCGGGGCGAAAAAAAGGTTGGGAACCACTGCTTTAAACACTATAAGGAAAGCTTGCTAAATTAAAATTACCAGATCTGGGCTGCAAAAATCCAGACAACCACAGATGACAGCAATAAAATCTCAACAGGTTGCCTGGATTTTTGCAACTCAGATCCAGTGGCTCCAACTAAACAATCCACACTAAGAAATGAGGAGCAGATATTAAAGAATCTCCCTGCCCCCACTTTTTTCCCCCTTGACATCCTCCCAAAAGCTTAACAACTAACCAAGAGACAGATATCGATAGATGACAATTGACTCTTAAGAGTCCCTCTGCTCAGTATCTGACTGTCATTTAACTATTAAAAGCTTGGAAGCTCCACCATGAGGCCAAGATATGGTTAAAAATACCTGAAAAGATCTAGCTGCTGTTTAAAGAGACATATATGTAGCCGTTTAGCATCTATAATACATTATAAAACATTAGCATTAATCATAGGCAACTGGAGCGTGAGTTAGAAAAGAATAAGCCACTGTATCCATCAACTTTACACAGTTGAAGAGAACAATGTGTACATTTCCAGAATCGCTTCTCACCTATTGACTCCAGCAAAAACCACGCTATACACACCCTCAAGCTTGCAACAGTTGTTTAAAAAGCCCATCGATCACTCCCAGCCGCCGCAGCCTGAGAGAAAACCTGCGAGGCTTTTCATTCATGACCGTTGTGGTTGGTTTTTTTTTTTTTTCCTCCCCAGAATTGTTATGGGTTTATGTAGTAGAAGCGCTCATGTTCAAAAAACCCATAACTTTCTGTCGCTTTTGTTTTGAAAGGTTTGGAGCAAGAAAATAAAAATAAAATGGGGTGGGGGTGAGGGTGAGGGTGAGGGTGAGGGTGAGGGGAATGAAAGAAACGGAGGCCACTCCAGACGAGGAGTTCCGCCCCGCTTTCGCCCGGCTGGTCGGGGAAAAGCCAACCGTCCGAGTCCAGGTCTGAAGTACGGACGGACGGGTGGGGGGAGACTCCCAAGGTAGGGAAAAAAGAGACTCTCCCCCCACTCCGCCACCCCCCTCAGTCTTTAACCGACTGCGAAGACCCCCCAGTTCACCCGCGGGAAGAAAAGCCTCGCCGGCGCCTCACCTCTCCTCGCAGCCCTGGCATTTCACCTGCACGGCCACCAACTGGCTGAAGAGGCTCTCCGACGCCATCTTGCGCTTTGAGTTTGGCGCCCTGCTCCCGCGGGGGGCGGGGGGGCGGAGGGAAGCCAGGAAAGAGCAAGGCAGGAAGGGCGGGGAACAAGCCATGCGCCGCCCGGGGGAGGCGGGGTGGGGGTGGAGGAGGAGGAGGAGGAGCCGAAGGAGAAAGAGGGAGGAGCCCCGACACCTGTAAGCAAGATGGCGGGGGCTCCCGTCGAGGTGGCATCTCTACTTCGGCCAGGGCGATGCGCCTACTTCGTGGAGCGGAAGAAGCGCTTTTGCAAGATGGTCCCGGCCCAGGGCAGGCACTTCTGTGGCGAGCACAGCGCTGAAGAGGTAGTAGGGGGAGAGCTAGGCAAGCCCGCTGGACCGAACGAGCCGTTTCGTTTGTAAACATAAGGCTCCGCTGCGTTTCGTTTCGAGGAGCTTCCAGTTTTTTTTTTCTGACACAGGCAGAGGGAGGAAGGAAAGAAGCTCACTCAGGTCGTCGGTATTTTATATATGTAGAATGTACACGCGTGCACACACACAGGCAAACACGCACGCACACAACCACGCTTTGCGGGAAAATGTCATTAGGTTTTCTGGTTCATCCCGTTTTATCTCATACTACCCATCCTGGTGTCAAAGTTCCGTTTGCATCTAGTATTGGAAATTGTGATGGTTGTGAATCTGATTACAAATAGTCCTCTGCTTACGACCACCCTCGAGCCCCAAATTTAGGTTGCTGAGTGAGAAAATTTGTTAAGTGAGTCTTCTTGCCCCATTTTATGACTTTTCTTGCCGCATTTATTAAGTGACTCACTGCAGTTAAATTAGTAACACAGGTTGTTAAGTGAATCCGGCTTCCCCATTGACTTTGCTGGTCAGAAGAAGGTTGCAAAAGGTCATCAAATCAAATCAAACATTTAATTGTCCATGCACAACATGTGTACAATGAAATTGAAATTGAAAATTGAACCAGATGACCCTAGGACACTGCAACTATCATAAAAATATAAACCAGTTGTTGAGCATCAGAATATAAATCACGTGACCGTGGGGATGCTGCAACAGACATAATTGTGAAAAATGGTCATAAGTCACTTTTTTCAATACCGTTGTAACTTCAGTCACTTAACAATTACTAAATGAACTGTTGTAAGTCGAGGACTATCTGTACATATTAGGGCAAATTATGCAGGGTTGGGGGAAGCTGGCTTAGTTTCCCTAGCATGCATAGGGAAAATGTTGCCATCAAACTAGAAAATGAGTACAAGTAGAAATGGGCAGTGGAAGAATACAAACAGCTTTTTAAAAAAACACAAAGTAGGTTTTTCTTTCATACCGCCCTTGGATATAAGGCACCTTTTGAGGCAACGTTTTGTTGATTCCAATGTAAATCATTATATTTGGGTTTTTTTTTCCTATTCCATTATGTTACATCTATGTCATTTGGGACTCACTTTTATTTGGGGGGGAGGGGTGTGTGGAGCTGAAAAAGGGTATGATTTTAAGATTTAGTAAATTGTTTTTTTTTTAACTAGGAAGAACATAAAAGGAAAAGAATCCCTTGTCCTTTGGATCCAAAACAGTAAGCAAGAATAGTTTGTGTGATATTTTTGTAAAAAGAACAATGAATAGCATTGCTAGTTTGTTTATTTTTAATTTTAGCACTGTATATGAAGACCAGCTACAAAAACATTTGAAAAAGTGTAATTCAAGAGAGAAGCCAAAGCCTGTAAGTGTCACTGAAACTACTTGAAGTAAAATTAAGGCGGACTTTCTAGAGGTATACTAGCTGAACTGCCTTGTGCAGTGATACTTCATTCGATTAATATCCTGATGAAAGTAAGGATTATTCTAGATGGAAGCATCAGAGAACCACCAATAAATATATTACAGTGTTTGTACTGTAGGGCTTTATTGTATCAGTGTTCTACTTTCTCATACTTAACTGATTTCAGAGATAAGAAAGACTGGAAAGTTTGCGAAGAAACATGAGAAGGTTGCATTATAGAAGGCAGTTTATCTGAATCCTGTATAGAATTCTGTGAATTTAGCCAGACAATTGCATAATGGAAACATAATCTGGAAGCACCTAGAATCTGTGTGCGTCGTAAATGGGTCTTGGATATTATAGCAGAGCAAAAATTGTTTATACAGGCTTTAGGCTGCCCTACAGCCAAGAATGTCAAAGTATAAGGCAAATCTTTTCAATAGGTAGCAGTGAAAGTAACTTTCTAAGATTTTACAAGGATGTAGTTGAAAGACAAGGGAAATAAGAAAGAAAGTAGAAAATATTTTTGACTAAACATTTTGTTTAGTCAAAACTTATATAAAGGTTATATAAAATTGCATTCATAAGTTTATTACATGTCTTACTGTTCTAATAAAAAATCAGTTCTTGGTTCATCTATCTGTTACACTTGTCTAAATATTACTAAATATTTAGGATTGTTTTCATCCTGTAGGTACAATCAAATTTCAGTTTTGTTTTTTCTTAAACTGTTTAATTAATTATTAATGTGTGTAAATACTGGAAAAGAGAGCTATAATTAGTCTTAACATTTTTTCCATATTTCATTTAGGTCTACTTTGCTAAAGATATTAATGCAGGACTGAAAAATGAAACAGAACTGTCTGAAGAACAGGTGAACAAATGCCTTAGATATATTTTGAATTGCTATAAGAGAAACTCTGCTTTTTAAAAATCTAAATAATTATTTTTATTTGCTCATTTATTTATAAAATGTATATGCTGCCTATCTCTATAGCTGCTTGATATTGTGATTAAAGCGTTGGCCTAGAAACCGGGAGACTGAGTTCTAGTCCTCCCTTAGGCATGAAAACTGGCTGGGCCATTCTCTTAGCTCAACCCACTCACAGAATTGTGCAAAAATTTGACGCAGGAATATTAGGTATGTTTATTGCATTGGTGGGACCAGTAAGATGTGGAGACAGAGAGACAAATGGGATTAAAATATAATAATATATTTAGTGAGAATAAGAAAAATGCTGCTTTATAGAAGTTTCAGAGATAACAAATACTATACCATTGGCCATTGTTTGTTGCAGAATTATAGTAGCACAATTTGGTCTTGGCAATTAAATGTATCTAATGCTATTTGAGCAGCAGGAAGAAAAATCTTGGTGATGGAATGGACAGAGGCATTTATTTTGCTGTGACGTCCAAGTGTTCTTCCCCATAGTGGCTTATCAAGCACCGGCAGAAAAGTACCGTATATACTTGAGTATAAGTTGACCCGAATATAAGCCGAGGCACCTAATTTTACCACAAAAAACTGGGAAAACTTATTGACTCGAGTATAAGCCTAGGGTGGGAAATGCAGCAGCTACTGGTAAATTTCAAAAATAAAAATAGATACCTCTATGAAAAATAGATACTTCTATGAAATATAACTAAAAAGGCATGTTGCTTTCATTAGTGTCAAGATGGCATGAATTAACATGGCATACTCAATTGCAAGTTAACTTCATTCACTCTTGGCACTAAAAAATGCCAATATCTAATTAAAACTTTCACTAGGACAGTTGAGAATAAGTTTGATGTTCACAATTTCCTCTTTAAAAGAGACCAGTAAATAGGGAACAAGATGATGAAGAAAAAGAAGTGTGTTTTTTCACACTTTTCACATAGGAACACTTGGCATCATAGGAACAGGCTTATTCTCAGTCCAAAGGTTTGTTTCTGATTTCTTCCCTGATTTAAGGGAAATTTGGGAAACGATCTCACTATCATGAAAGGTTTAATTGATTCACTAACCCAAAAGAAGAAGATGATGATAATGACAGTGGGAGGCAGGAGTCACCCTCTCCCTTGCAAGAAAAAAGCAAGAGCCGTTCTTATGATCTCTCTCTCTCTCTCCGGAATACAGTCAAGCCCTTTCCAGCACGCGTGATCCGCCGCCGCCGCTTTGCACCTTGCAAATGCAAAATCCCAGGGTTTTTGCATTTGCAAGGTGCAAAGCAGCGGGGGTGGATCGCGTGTGCTGGAAAGGGCTTGACTGTATTCCGGGGAGAGAGAGAGAGAGAGAGATCATAAGAACGGCTCTTGCTTTTTTCTTGCAGGGGAGAGAGTGACTCCTGCCTCCAACTGTCATTATCATCATCTTCTTTTGGGTTAGTGAATCAATTAATTTGGGAAACGATCTCATTATCATGAAAGTCAGTGTTCTCTGCCTGTGGGGCGTTTGGAAGAAAATGCCCCGGCATATTCACGGACGTGTAAGGGGAATCAGAAATCCCCACGTTCAACACCTAGCACGGCAGAAGAGAAAATGCAGCTGTGAGCAAATACTGGGAAAACCTGATTGATCAGAAGGAAGGAGGCAAAAGAGGGAGGGGTGGTGGTGGACGGAGGTCCCACTGGTATTTGTGAAACACTCAGTCAGCAGCGCTTAAAGTCAATGTCCTCGCTCCCACCCACCCACCCACTCAAAGCCACAAAGTCCCCCAATCGTGCAGCCCAGAATCACCCTCCCCTCAGGGGGCAGCAACGACGCCCGGCGTTTCCCGAAACAAGAAGCTCGCCGTGCAATGAAAGCGCCCTGGCTCTAGGCTCGTGGGCTCAGAAAACAACGCGAGCTGAGGTGGCTTTGGCTCTGCTTGGCTTCGTTTCCTCAGCCCCAGCTGCTTTCAGTCCACTCGGGAGGAGGTGGTGGTGGCGGCTCGCGTTGTTTTCGGAGCTCGCGAGCCTAGAGCCAGGGCGCTTTCATTGCACAGCGGAGCTTCTTGTCTTGGGAAACGCCAGGCGTCGTTGCTGCCCCCTGAGGGGAGGGTGATTCTGGGCTGCGCAATTGGGGGACTTCGTGGCTTTGGGTGGGTGGGTGGGTGGGAGCAAGGACGGACGGAGTCCACGAAGTGGGGCTTGCCTGCTCTTGCTGGCTGCCTCTGCTTCCTTAGGGGCGGGGAAGGGGGCTCATCTGGACCAAGGGTGAGTCTCCCCCTCAGTTTCCCCTGAAGGATATTCTGTCGCTTTTGCCTTCTCCCTACGCCTTCCCTCTGTTAAAATCCCCCCCACACACACACACACACTT